AACATAAGGTCGTTTATATAAGACAGGATTTCCACTGTAGGGGAGCTTCTGTGTTGGTCGGAAAATAAAAATAAACATAGAATAGAAATGCTATGGAATAGGGCTATAAATGATCATAATATGAGTTTGTATGTAATTAAATACTTGCAGTAGTCGTTTAAGTAGGCATCTAGAGCTAGTGAAAGCGTTTTCGTCATTGATAATTATATTTATCGTTGTGTGTGGGTTAGGATACTGACCAGGTACCAAGGCCGAAGCTGGTAATTTTCCTTGGAACCAGCTCACCGAACCTTTAACCTAGAGGTCTAGTCCACAAGGCAGTGTGCTGTGTTAGGAGATGGAATCCAATGGTTGCTGGCTACCATAAATAGGTTTATACTCCACATAACCTTTCTGGATCCTGGAGCCCGTGTGCACGGTTGGTTTGGAACTGGAGTTTACTAGATGACTACGTGGCTCCACCATATTCAGAACTCATCCACGGACTACTCTACTGCTTACAACAGTTAACTAGGAAACGACAATTAAAGTAAAGGCTTCTGGCGTTCTTGTGGAGTTACCTTGCCAAAAATATGCTCCATCTACGAAGAGTGATTGCCCACTGATTGAAATTAGTTTGGGTTGGAACGTTTTTCTGGTGGTGACAAGTTTACACTGACCTAAACTTCTTGGTTGTGTTTTATTTTCTTCATCAAAACCATCCTCTTGATCTGCAAATATTTACCATGGCTTAGGATTTCTCCATGTTTATCTCCAGAATATTAGTGTGAAAGTTAACGACGAGTGATGTGGTTGAGGTAATCTTATCCTCACCACTTGTTACGAACGACATAAGTGGTTAAATCATCTCACCCTATTTGTGTATTCATGTACAATTTCCATAATCTCAAGAAACGCCCCACACACGACTTTTTTTCCAGGGTTTCAAAACACAATTACGTCCAAATAATTGGAGGCGGTCATCATTTCAAAAAACACAATAGTTAGCCTGTATTAACTATGATATTCAATCATGGAGTTCGATGTATGAACCGTCTGAGTAAACCCTCACAAGTCCGTCAAGCCTTCACAGTCATAGTATAAAGAAAACCACTATACTTGTTAATTAGTAGTTGATCTAAATCCCGATGACTTATTCTAAGCACAGGAACATTTACTTGTTAAATGAGTTACTTGTTCTAACAAACGAAAATTATTTGACCGTCTGTCATATCATTACCATCCTGGCATTGTTATTGAGTGCTACCAAAAGACTCTTCATTTTATCAATATCTTCACCAAACAGGACTAAGTCATCTGCGTATTCTAAGTCGATAAGTGGACCTCCTGGTAGCAGATTAATTCCTGAAAATTCAGACGACGAGAAAGTCATCTCCAGCAGTAGGTCTATGATGAAATTGAACAAAAATGGAGATAGTGGACATCCTTGTCGGACAGCACTTGAAATTAAAAATTCAGATGACAGTTTGCCATAAGCTTTGACTCGACTGGTAGTGTTTCGGCTTTAGGGAGTTTCTGGCATCTGAAAAACGACTTTCAATATTGCAGTCTTATATTTCACCTCATTCTTAGTTGTCCCATCAACCTTTACTTCAAAATTCAGAAATGATTCGATTTGTTTATTTTACCGTTAGAGTCTTCTGCACTCGAAGAGAAGTGCTATTTAGGGATTGCAAATACAGACCACATGTGCTGAACCAATCAAGTTCGAGTACATTTAAGTTTTCTTTAACAGTGTAGCATAATTTAGGGATGGTTTTACCTTGGAACAGAATATTACAATGTAACAATATTTCACCGCAATTCACTACAGTCTGAGGTGTTTTCTTGAGTTATAGCGTGGGTATGTGTCTGTATAATTTCGTTAAAATGGTTATAGTGTCGTACGCAGTATTTAGCTACAGACGCGTTGTGTATCCGTTGATTTGTAACCATCACGATCATCTACGAATTTTATGGACAGGCTTTTTGAATGAATATGAGGTTTGGGCTGGGAGGACTTTCTACGTTTTGCTATAGATCTGATGGTGCTAGGACGTTATACGCGATACTCATCTCTTTTTATAACCAGTTGCATTGTTTACAACAATGTTTCTTGCTTGAGCGACATTCTTCACTGTCACAACATGTTTATGATGATGTTTTCCAGGTGTTGGTTTATAGGGGTTGACTGGGTAAATGCTTTGAACTTGTAATCGTGTACACTACTGGATTGTCTCGGTTACTACAGCATCAATGTGCAATGTTTGGGGTTTGTCAGTCGTCGGCATTCCATATTAACTAACTATAGCGTTATCAAGAGGTCTTAGTTAATTTCAAACTTGTGGGTATCTTAATCTCTTGAAGGTTTTATTCCACAGACAAAAATAAGACACTTGGATCGGTCATGAGCTGTCTTAATCTGAAGCGTTCGCATTATCGTTAGCCTACGTAGGTGAAAAGGTCTTCAGTTTACCGTTTTATCAACACTACTGATGTCTCGTATTCAGAGTAAGGACTAGTTTTTAGAAATCCATTTCCTTTACTGTCTCTTTAAGATTGTGATCACTTGGCCGATATGGCAATATCAAGTTTGAGTCCTTTTCATGTTCTGTGGTGTCTGGAGTATTAGAGCATCAGAGATTTATTAGTGATTTGTTCTGTTGCCGATGTAGTTCAGGACTGGGCAACCTGATTCGGTGTTATAGCACGTAATCTCTCTGTCACAACTGTCGGTGTCTTATCCTGTTAAAACATCAACTTGTAATCTGGGTCAGTCAAAATTGTTTCTGAAGTAACCGTCACCACTGTCGTAAATCCCACTGAAACATATAAATTAACACTGTCACTACAGTTATAATCCAAAGACTTCACAAAATAACACATTTATATACGGAATATTAAACTAAAGAACAAATATATTCAAGAGCCTTTTAATAAGTAAATAATTGGAAAATATGAAAAATATATGTCATTCACTCTACAGTGCAATTAAAATCTGACTTTAAACTTATATTGTTTCGTTTACCTGTTTTTAATCACTATTATTCCTTGTTTTAAGCTTCATGATCTTTATTTTGTGTTATATTGTGTGATACTTATCGTGATGATCATGTGCGAAGTTGTCCGGATAGTTACTACTGTAATCTGTTTTTTCCCCAAAGTTTTGTTCTTCGGTTAGATATGTGCTTAGAAATAATAGAGAAGTATTAAGCTATGTCTGAACCCTCTCAAATTCATGCGAAACTACATTGTTAGGTGAAATTTAGTAAGAAACTGTCCATCCTTTTCGGGTTAAATGAAGGAATTGGTATTTAGGTATAAAAATTTTTAGAAAGGTAAATGACACCAAATTGTTACACTTTGTAAAATACTTGTTATTGATCTTATCGTTAATTGTTTACTTGCTTTCTATTGCCACACTGAGATAAACCAAAATCACAAACTCTAAAAGTTTTTATGTTTGTTCGTTATTTTTAGTGAACTTACTCTACATTTTATACCATCATACATTTTCCCTCTTTATGAGTTAGGTAATCTCAACAGCAAAAACTTTATAATATATGTGTATCACTTAGCTGTTTGTCAGTATCTTTTATTACCTAGTAACACAAAGTTTGCGTGCCACGATGTACAAAATGTGTGGAGACTCATCTGACCCTGTCGACATACTCATACCCTTATACGTAAGTACATCATGTACTGTGCATCTTTGAAATGCAAATTACTTTTAAAAGATTGAAAGGAATCCGTGCCGCATTCATTCTTTTTAGGTAATTTGTTAGAAATAGTCGGGAAGTTCATGTATCTGGGTAGTGTTATCAGAGAGGATGGCGGCATGACAAACGAAACCGATATACGTATAGTGAAAGCCAGAATGGCTTATACCAATTTAGAATGTCTTTGGCAACGCTGTGATATTAGTCTGGCTGTATTTAACCGGGTTTACAACCCGTGGGTAAGAGCGTTTCTGCTTCATGCTTGTGAAAAATAGCGTTTGGAGACTCCATTTAATCATCCTTATCTCCAAAAGGATTGCTCATATGCATTGTCAACACTATGTTAGTAACGTTAAGGTTCAGCACTTTGTGTTCAAACCCAGTGGCGATAATTCAGTTCAACTTACCATCTCGAAACACCGACTTCGATGGCTTGGGGATGTGTTACTATTGTCATCCCATTGATTTCCACATCGCTCATCATTTAACAAATCTGGGACTGGGCGAAAAAAGTAAGGAAGTGATTAGTTTTTGACATGGTGCCTTTGCATTAAATATTCCTGACATCTATTGGTCCATTGCGGTTTTTGATGCTATCAGATGTAATTTGAAATAGAATGCAGTGGCTGTGTTGTTGTAGTTTTCTGGTGAAGTTTGAGAAAAATAGGATGAACTCCGTTAACTAGAAGAAGACTTTCTTGACTACATTCTTAGCTGAACGGTACCAAATACTATTCCTCTTCAACTATTTATTGATTCTGCCATCTTTCTCTTCTCTATTTCTTCACAATATTACCACTTCATTTGTATGGCGCATTTTTTAAAATGTAGTGAACCATAACCTACGTGTTTTAAATAAATGATATATAGACTAGTTCATAGTATACATACCATTACTTTTACTAATTACACAAATTCAAATTGTTTTATTTTTTTAGAATTTTAACATTGTCTTTAAATCGATATCTTAAGGTTTATTAAATTATTCTGTTAAACTTACCAGTTCATAAAAAATGAGTAATTGCTACTGAACATAAATCATAGTGAAAATGCATTCAAAGTTCATAAAGTAATGCAGCAAAAATGTGTTTAAAGTCGACTTTATATTCATCTTAAATCAATATTGATTTTCCTCCTTATAAGTTATATTTGGAGATTCAACATCATCAATAAATCCGTATACATGTCGCTTCCTTTCCTTTTTTTATAACTACGTGAAAGAATATTCTTGGCTTTTTTCATCTTTATTGATACTCGTATTTTTCATATATGTTTCAAGATATTCATATGTTTATATTTTAGGTGGTTGGGTTCTGAGCGTTTCATTTTCGGCAGATGGAAATAAATTAGCATGGACTAAGCATAATTCAACAATTTTTGTAGCTGATGCAAGTATCAGTGCCACACCTATTGTTACACGTTTACGAACTGATTTCTTACCTTTCGTCAGTTGCATTTGGATTGGACCATCAACTTTTGTAGCAGGTGGTTACGACTGTTGTCCTATGCTGTTTAGATATAATGACCAATCGATCAGTTTTGTTCACCAGGTACGTCGATTCGATTGTCATATACCTGTTATTTTATAAAAAGATGTGTGCGTCATTTTTATGTATAGTGTGCTTTTCATGGAAAATTTTTGGTTTAGTTCTGTTACTTGCAGATGTACAAACATTATTTCTTGCAGATGTAATAGTCTTTGTTCATCTCCTCTCATTGTGTTGGTGTGTATTATGACAAACTGAACTGGTGTGCATCTGTACCAAGTCCTGTATTGTTAAATGACTTTAGTGACTAACTACTTCTAAGTAGTATGTATGATTCGCTTATAAATGTACGTTCGTATTTTAATGCATTGTTGTTTTTTGGTTCAATCAGGAAGGGTAGATAGTCACTGTTCATCCACTAAATACAAACCGAATCGCTTCATGCCAATGTATATAAATAGCTACTCCTGTTATTATTCGGAGTTGATCACACTTATAGTCTTGTGCAATAACAATTAGGTTTTATTCCATAAGTGGAGAAGACTTGTAGCTCAGGTGGATGATTTTGGTGGTGGTGCATAAATATAGGAACAAAAATCAAACCAATGGGAGACACAACCAAAACAAAGAAGTAAACAATGATAAATTTAAGGTCAACAAGAACCAATCAACATCGAGGTGCACAGAACAAGCTGTGAAACACATATGGAGAAATTCGAACACTTCACTTCTATCTGAAGTTTGTGCTGATGATGTCGTTCAGAAGAACGATGAAATCTCTACGACCAAACCATCCAGCTCAGAGAACAAAACACCAAAATTATTCCATAAGTACTTCTAGGTAATCAAAATGTAAGCATGTCTTGTTGTAATTGATTGGGATTTATCCATTAGAATAATTTTCTTGATACAAATTTTTTGACCTATTCGGTTCTTGGAATCGAACCCATAATATAGTTTGGTTGCATAACCTAAGTAAATGGTTATAGTACTGTAAACTTTTATAATTTAACGGTGCTACTATTACGTATTATCACGTCACGCACTTAATCCTCATCTTATAAATCCTTGATATTTGTATTTCAGTTCTCAATACACATCTATATCTTTCAGTATGTCCTCGTTTTATTCCCTCTTTCTCTGCTAATGTGGAACACCGCAACTTAAATTGGTGTATTTCGTGTTATTTCCTTTCAGATTGAGTTCCTTATGTCTTTTTGTAATAGAACAAACTATATATATGGTCTCAACTTATTCTATTAGTAATGATTCTTTCAACGCGTTAAGTTAATGCTGAATCAAATATAGATAAGCTCTGAGCCGTAGGACATCTCGCATAAGCGCATATACACAAATACGAATCGTAATTGTCGCTATCTGTCATTCTTACAAACTAATCAAGGTTTATCGAAAAGTTATCCTCTCGTATGTTCTACATAAAGTACTTTTCTTCAGAAACGAACCAATCTTTTTCTCTAGATAAACTTTATAAAAGGAGACTGGTGGAGATTTATGACTACCTTACTTTTTAGAAAAAGCTATCCTAATTATGTGCATGATTAACATTTGTATTGTTTAGATAGAAAATTAGTTAGGTAAAATGTGTTTCTATCGAATGCTTGGAAATGTGTTTGATTGCCTTCATTTAGATACGGTTACAAGTCAATAAGGTATTGAATAATGCACATCTTAGATAGAAGTATAACGTGGTAATTTGTTTCGTCGTATGAGTATATCATCAAATGTTTGCATCGAACTTGGATTATGTTTTGTAAGTGATATTTTTGACTATTTTGATTCATAGGTGACAGAGTAAACTGGTAATCAAGCTTTTTTATCGGGAGGGCTTGAAATGAATGATGATTGCTAGTGGAAACAAGAATAATATTTGTTTTATAGATTTTTATATTTGTTGTTCATGACGCTATCTGAATAATCTTTGTTCCCCAACCTAGTTGGATACTAAGAGTGAATCTCGATATGGTGGAAAGGTAACAGCTATGAAGAAATTTCAAGATATTGATCGCATGGCTACAGCTGATAATACTAGCTCTCGTTTACCGACGATTCATCAAAATTGCATTAAGTAAGTTCAGTTGATTGCTGTTCTTCATTTTTATTTTATGTTAAGGTTACTCTTAAGCGAACAGTAGCATAGCGTTATACATACAGCCATGTCACCATGCCAAACCACCCCATAATTCGATGAGTGGTATTGTCTAGTGTGGTAATAGGCTAGTAGAAAGTTAGGGGCAGCCAAACTAGGATGTAACATCAGTCCATAAGGTCACTAGCAATTGAAATGAGCCGTACATTTAAGTGCATACAACTTGGTTGGGTCCGCTCGGATTTTGTAACCAGTGATTGGAAACTGAGTGACGTGAATCAGAATTTTCCCCAATGAGGAGTGTGGATTCGCTCGTTATTTCCCCTTAGATCTTGGGTTTCTAAGTTATCTTGTGATTTTCTTTCGTTCCACAAACCCAAATTTCCCCCTAGAATCATATCTTCTACTCCTGGACTTCTATACTACTACTGGTACTGTCAATACTTCTACTTTTCTGTGATTTATTTCACTTCACTTTGCTAATTTGGTGTGGCAACTCGAACCGATTCACATATGTGCTAGGTTTCATGTTGCATATGACTGGTTGCTTGAAGTTTTCATGGTGGTAGTGTTACATCCTTGATCTGTTTACCCATTGATATACAGAAGGTAACTTGTCTCAATCTAGATTAAAGCCTTGATACGATAGGCCTAATGGTTCAACCTTGAGGCTAGAATCACGTGAGTTGAAAGTGAGACCAACTGCCTTGGGTAGAGAGACGGAAACTGTTCTATCACCTGATTAATTGCCAAGTGAGAGAAGACGAGTCAGCTGGAACACTATTCATTTTCCCGATTCCGATTCACACTCCGGTTCAGGTACATGAATAATATGTATGACTAACATGACCACAACGCACAAACAATTAGAAAATACAATTATGTTCAAAACTAGGCATCAAAGTAGAAAAATAGAGTACTAAAGGTTACGTTTAAGTTATAATAACTTTGGAACAAAAAAGGGTACGACAGTGAATCATACATCAAACGAAAGCCTTTAGTTTGTAAAATGAACTAGGGACAAAACTGAATGTTAGTATTTTACAAGCTTTGAAGTAAGTGAAATGACTTCCTCAAAAGTAGCTTCCGTTGTTTGTCATGGCTTTTTTGTTTCCCATACCACATTACCACAACGAAATAAAATCAACGAGTTAAATAGCAGGAGTCGAAATAATGCAGTGGGAAATATAGTGAGAAAGACTAAACATTTAAGTAGTTCGAAGAGATATTTGTAAGTAGGCTGATTAAAGGCTAGTAAAGGGTAAATAAATAGCACTCATTTTTTATCTGCAGTTGCAATAGAGCAGAGATTCGGATGCTTTTTTGTCAGAATGAATTGTCAAGCGTCAGTAAATAAACTGACTCAAGTACACTCCCCAATCTGAACCTTACAAAAAATACAAATCGACTTCGTTTCATTTTTGGTTGGGATTAACCAAGATCTTTAGCCGCTTATCTGTGTTATTTTAATTTCTCATTCTTTTGAGCTTTCATTTTTTCAAGACAAGAACAAGAAGTTATAGATATCACGAAAACAGTGACATGTCTCATTTGGTTTCATGCAAAGCTTTTCATTTTCTTAGTTTGATCGAATATAAGTTGTTACATTTATAAACTTGTCACCTGAAATTCACACCTAGTTTACATAAGTTTCAAAACTTTTTTATGACTCGTTAAACTTTTATTTTTTTGTCTACTCAAAACTTCAGTGAAATTCGAATTCTTAAAGGTGATCGTTCAATGGCTTCAGAACTCAGTTCAGTCGGTCGAGATGGTAATCTCGTATTGTGGAACTTTCCAACACTATCTGAACAAATTGCAGATTTAAAGATAGTTTGATGTGTCTCGGTAATTCCCTTAGTCAGGAGATTTGTACGTTTATGTCAAACTCGGTTACAATTTATATTGTGATCACTGCGAATGACCGCATAATTACCATCATCTTTCTTACCAATGATTTTCACAATTTGTGTGTAAACTAAATATTTTATAATCATTTTACTTAATTATTCAGAAACAGTTTTTCTTTCTTTCAATTATGTGGGTATGTGTATTTGTGTCGATCTTTATGTAAATGTAAAGAACACACTAAAAGAGAGTTTATTTTACGCCTCCGTATAGCAGTATCCTATTGCGGGACGGGCTGAGAAAATCATAGTCTGTTGGCATTACTTTTTCCCTCATGTTGCTTTCATTCATTTTCCAAAAACCAGTACTTTTAATATGTGCGGAACGGTTAATGTTAGTTTGAGATCTTGATTTATCTTACTTGATTATATATATATATATATATATACGATCGAACCTTACGAAATTCAACGTGCTGATTTGAAGTTACTCCGTTTAGTAACACCGTTGGGAACTTTGTATGTCATTGAGAGTAGTGTGTTACCTCTGTAGTTTGCACAATTACTAAGAACCTGATCGGAACTTACAAAATTTAAATCGTTGGTCTGGAAGATGTATCCTATGTCGTTTGGAACTTGTTGCTCGGACCCACTCCGAAATCTCTAAGCTTGTTAGGTGCTTAGAGAAAACATATATTAAGCTGTTATAGCGCTGTTCATTCATTTTCCCAGAACTTCTTCATTTTCAGCTTGACTAATACCATGTGATGATGTCTTCAAATCTGTTCCTATCTCTCTGTTCGTACATCTCACATGCACCTTGTGAATATTTTATTGACGCAGATGTGGTCAGTCTCGTTTCTTGTAGTGTGTCCCTGTGATTCCTGTGTAGCTTTGTGTATGGGATTGCCGGGAGAAATACTGCCGTCTATAGTCACCATGTTGTTGACAGCACATAGATTCTCCAGTCGCACTCCATTCTCGTTACCCTCGTAGTCTATGTCGTTCCGTAATGCGTTAGTATCCGGTATTGTCTGTCCCGAATTCGATGTCGATGTCTCACATCAGGATGATCAACATTTTTCTTGAAGATTTGTTCAGGTTGAGTTGGAGTACTTGGTAAAACTGGTGTTTAAGATGTTCTCTGTGGTGACTGGTAAGTTCGTTGCACAGGATATCGTCGATTGTAGTCCTTGGTTTCTTTGTCTTGAGTGATGCTTAAATGGTCCTGGAGCCTTGTGTTTCTCTTGTGTTACATAAGCGCTTATCCTGGTTCTTTGGATAACGTGAGTGCGACTCTTTGTATGTATTGAATATTTCTGTTTCTGAACGAAATACAATGAGTGTTCTCTCGAAGTTATTGTTTTTGTTGAGATAGTGTTTAGTGTGTTTTACTTATTGCAAACACATTCAAGTTGCGTCTGCTGATTTCCTCGGTTACTCGAATGGTTGTCCCAATCCCTACCAGTTTTCGACATTCCATGTGCGTGTATTAATTGTCGGTTTTGGTTTTGTCGGAGGAGATATGGTGTTAGTGATTCCCGAAGAATTTTGGCTTTCGTCATGAGTCGTGAATAACTGTTCTATAGGAAAATTCTTTGACTTCCATAATGGAGTGTAAGTGGGCTGATTAGTGTATTTTCGCCAGGTGGGGTTGTTGAGGTTACACACAGCCTTTCTCCTTTTCCTATGTGTGGGATGGTCAGTAATTGAAGGATGGTTTATGCGTAGTCAAATGTCATTTCGATCTCTGCGATGATTTTAAGTTTAGTTTTTGAAAGTAACGTCTTCTATATACTCCGATCCTAACTTTTACTATTTATTCAAATACTGACTAATATCTGTATGAATCAATTGCCATGGTTTGTTTATTTATAATATTGAAGTAACTATCAAGTCGACCGATTTGTGAATGAATATACACAAGTATTTATTCCATTGGTTTTTAATACCATGTGAATTTTTATTTCACTATGTTTCTAAACGAGTTTGGACATTGGTTTTGGATATTTTATTTATTTATTCATATTAAATAATTCACTACCAATGAAATGAAATACTTTCATCATACATCATAAGTTAACATTCGTATCACTGACATCAAATTTTATCAAGATGACCCATTTAATTTTTTACAATAAATGTAGCCTGGTCTTGTTTATTGTTAAATAACTGGTGTGTGTTTATATAGAACTCATTTTAATAATGTCATTCACATTTGAAGTGCATAGGTTGTTAGCTGTTTTTCGCATAGTATAGCGAAACGGTTTATAGTTGTTAGTTCTTACTGACAGAGTATGACCTGTTTGTACAAAAGACCAGATCTTAGTACTAAATCGAAGCTGTCCATTCGGTATTTATGAAGTTAGTAATGGCCCTATCAAAGTAGATGAAATATGCTTGAATCTGTCACATTATTGTATTCTGAAGATAACAAGAAACTGTATCCTAGTATTTTTAGAATAAAGTATTTCAGTGGAAGTGTCTGAAAGACTGTCATCCGGTAATGTCTGTCAATTGTACCGTTGATTTCTCCTGTTGCTCTTTTTATCGATCTACTTGGTTATATCGCTGAGCAATAAATGTTTTGTATATAATTCCATGTGTGCTTCTTTTATAGTTTCTTTTTCTAATAACTGCTACTTTCGTGAATTTACCTCAAATTCGGGTATTATTTCTAGGTCCGATCAATATATATATTTATAATTTTGGGTGCATAACTATTTTCACGATGTCCTCGTTGAGACAAATAAGGTTGTTTGAATATTAAGCTTTTAAAACGTTTTATAATATGTACATGAACACGAAACATCAACGATTAGCCAGCGAGTTAAATTAAACTTAAAATTATCTACCCACCCAAATATGTCAGCCTACAACGCTTTGAGAAGTTGAAATAGCTGTAACTTATCTTGGTCAAAGATCTCTAGTAGCAAATGCATTGACAATATTTATTTTGTAGTGTATTGGCTTTGAGACTATTCCTTAGCTTTGTATAACAATCACCCTGATAACCGTTAAATGGTAAATTCTAACAGTGTATGGATTCAGAAGGCACCACGAAGTGCCTACCGCAGTTTATCATTGGATAGCACAAATCACAATTCTACAAGCGAATTTGAGCAGAAAGGCTAGTGCAATCGATTTCAGAGTCGACATAATAGTAGTAATAATATAATGAAGTAGAGATATATTCTAATAACACTGTCTGTTAAATAAGTTAATTGGAATCCTTGGTAAAATTAACCATAAATAAACTTAATTTTAAGATAGATGCTATAATCTAGTAATAGCATGCTAAATGAGAAGTTGCTTTGATTTTTGTGCCGTTAATTCTGACGGATATCGATTGGTGATAATCTCGGCACATAAAGAATAACATAAATCTCGTGATGATATATAACCTGCCTTTTCATTTCTACAATAATTCAACACTTAACTGTGGCTGAGAAAACGGGGACTAAGAGGTTTCGATACTGGTTGTCCAGCTCATTCTATTTAGTTCTGGCTTATCTCTCTGTCAGTGAATTTTAGAACATAGAAATACCTAGCAATATTGATGCAGAATTTAAATCACTATATTAAATTCAGCATAGAACTGCCTAGGTGATATCTGTTTTGCGCTCAACAATTTACCTACACCAACTTTGGAAAGAATGGGAATATAACAAATCAATTTAATAAGTTGTCGAATTTATGTACATTGGTATTTCCTGTATAATTAACGTGAAAATATTGTGGTATAAAAATGCCTATACAATACAAGGTCTTGTATAGATGAAAACAATACAACCATTATATAGATTTTATGGGTTATTTTTGAACGAATAACAAATTTTTAACTCTCAAAGACAAAGAAACAAACAATATTTACCCTAACAACGTTCAATAAATTATTGATATTCTTATAGACTTCTCGTAAACTTATGTCTCTGACCAAGAACTTCAACTTTTTAAATATACTCTTCCAGTATATTAGCACACAAGTAACAGGTGAAAGTCTTCTAACAAAACAGAAATCAGCAACGATAACCTATTAATATCCCGTCAAGATAAACGTACAGGTTTAGTTCTGTCAGACCGCAAGATCTACGTAGACAAAATGATAAACTTATCAGTTGACACCGAGTTTGTCAAATAAATCAATGAGACGAACAAAAGACCAAAATGATCGAAAAGTAACTGAGTAGAGTTATCAATGAGAATGAAAAATGGTCGTGTAATCAACGAAGATATTTATGAGTGCATAAAATCATCGGGATGAATAATAACACAACTATATGGTTTTCCTAAAATACACAAACCTCACCGACCAATTCTTAAAATGTTCAGGTCCCCTTAACACTCAATGACAAGGCGGTTGAAAGATCTCCTGGGACCCGTAAGATGTGTTTGTATGCATTCCCCACATGATAATTTTGAATGCATTAATTACATAAAAGAAGTGAATGTAAATGATGAACTTATCCTTTCCCTTGATATCAAATCACCATTCATTACTATACCACAGAGACTATTAGTTTCATTTGCAAATATATAAGTAACAATCAGACTAATATCGGAATACCGGAAGCGTATTTAAAGGAACTACTATTACAATACACTTGTAATGTACGATTTATATTCAGCGACGTAATTCATAGGCAAAAGTATGGCATAGCAGTTGGATCCCATATTGGTCCATTACAAGCGGATTAGTTCATAGACAGTCGAGAAAAAAATCAGCCTAAAACAACCTACACACAAATAAAAGATACCTGGATGGTATTTTTATCATTTGCGACGATAAATATTATTTCAGTCATCTAAAGATATTTAATAACTGCCACTCAGCAATAAATTTCATATTTTAATATGAAAGCAAAGTATTTACTTTCTTGATATCGAAATGACAAGGAAACACGATGGATCTGTAAGAAGATTCATCTTCAGGAAACCCTCATGAAATAGTCAGCTATCAAGTTTTTACAACTGGGTCCCCAATGGACAACATCGAAATTTAATCATACCTCCTGCTCTTCGAATACGAAGAATTTGTAATCCCAAGGTCATGGATAACGAACTGAAATACATACAGACGTCCTGAATAAGAGAATTTCCGACCCTCGAACGTTATTCGCAGCAAATTTGAGACTAGCGTTCTCCGCGCGATCAATGTTCACCAATAATCTTAAGCAGAAATTATCTTATTTGATCAACTCTATGTGCTTTTATCAATTTACTTCTTCATGTGAGGCCAGGTATACAGGTCGTTCGATG